TTAAAACAGCCGGGGAAAATTACGGTTGTACCCTCTTGTATTTTATCTCACGGCAGCTTTCAAAGCCGAATTTACAAGATCATTATTTAAATTCCATGGACAGTCCACTCGATTCGACCAAGATTTAACGCCCGGTGTTGGACGACAAATTATCGAACCTAGGGGATAAATATATTTTCAGATAAAACAAATACGTGACGTCGTGTGATAAATCACTCGGGATAATGATCGTTCAGAATTTATAAAATGATAATGATAAAAAATAAGTGGAGTCAGTGGAAAAAAGTTGAATTGAAAAGAGATCGTGGGAGAATGTTAAATAAACAAATATTCAGTGCGAATGGCAGTTAGCCAGAGTGAAAGCACACGACATGGTATCCCTCAAGAACCGATCTATTTCTCACGACACGTGACGCCCGTCTCTCCACAAGTATTTTATATATTACATATATTGGCCCAATCATTCAACAAAAAACCATTTTCAAAATCACCATAACCCTTTCAACAAGGAAATTGATTTTTTTTTAATCAAAAAAGATGAATGCACTTGGAGGTCAGTAGTGAATACCTCGTTGAAGGCTTTATGGAGAAAAAATAATATGCGCAAATATTAAAGTCGAGGAAATTGTTTTTTTTATTCATAACTAAAGATAAATCAATTCAATCTTGACAATAAAATATTTTTATGGTTTTTACATTTTTGAAAAATTCATAGAACTGACTGATATTTTATGGATTTTTAAGCTATTGTTGAGTGAAAGAGTTGCGATATATTAATGGTTTATTGATGAGAACGAGAAAATAAAATGAATCGACACTTTAATCTCAAAACGTCAGACAGGAAAATTCTGGTTGATCGAGATGATCGATTGATGCTGAAGATTTTTCAATTGAATATTGTGGGGGGAATGGTGGGAGTCGATGATAAGAACAATCATGAAGAAGTGTAACAATGCGGTCTCGAGGTCTTCGTAGGTTAATATCAACCTGGGTCTCATACACACGGATATAATCGCGAGGCTGAATCAATTCCAGAGCACTTTCATTTCTCTGTGTTCTCTGACACAATCCCCTGGTCGTTTTGCCTCGGCATATGCCTTCAATTCTGTTACACTTTCCTCTGTGTCTCCTAAAACGGCATGCAGTACTCCGATAAAGAAAGGTGTACTCTCGTTTTCGATTTATCTGCACCGAGTTTTATAAAAGGAATGGATGCGTAATCGCTGCGTCCGTGACCACTAGTTTATCCCATTTTTTATTTTCATCGGCTCAATATTCCCGCATTTCCGCGTTCAGTATAAAAAAAATGAAAATTTAAGAAAGTCAATTCGCGGATTTGCGTTTCGAGTGGGTTTTAGTCTCGATGAATGAGGAAATTATTGTAAAAAGGGAAAGGAAAGCTTTTCTTTTTGATGATGACGCACTTTTTTTTTACTGGTGAGATAATTATTTCAGTGAGTGAACGGCTCAAATTCGGCGGGTAATTGAAATTGAGGGGAAACCGGTAATTGGGGAATTTTGAGGTTTGAATTTTATCAGAACTTACTTCATACCGGAAGTGAGAAGTCTTGAGGAATAATAAAGTAAAGGAAAATGACGTTACTGTAAAATTTACTTTCATCTCAAGGCTAGCCGCAATAAACACTACCGAGACACAAAAAAGTTACACTTGAATGGATCGAGGGCAATTCATGGGCTAATAATACAATTCAATATTGTTATGGTTAGACTGTTTTATTTTTATGGATATTAATAACTGATCTAATCTTTCAGACGCTTTCACGCGTAGCACAATTCGCGGG